AGAAGCTAACGTCGCAGCCTCTCCTGGCGGGGGGCGGGCGGCGCTTCCGCGGCCCGGGAGGGTGAGTGTGGGGCGGAGGTGCGCGCGCGGCTGGAGTCGGGGCTGGAGCGTCCCGGATTGCGTGCGCGCCGGGGGTCAGCCTGGGCGTCGGGGGCGCCCCCTGGAGGCTCAGGGGGAGGGAGGCCGAGGAGAATGTTAGGGCGCTGGATGATGTTGCTTGGGTCGTGATGTGTGTGGGCAGGCGGGCGGGCAGGCGGGCGGGCACCGGCGCTTGGACTCCAGAGGAAAGTTCTTTTTTTTTTTTTTTTTCTTATGAAAGAAAGGCCTTGTAAGCGTTTTTAAATTCCCTTCATCTTGGGCAGGTCTGTGACCTTGCCTTCCTTCCACAAGGAAGAGAGCTTAGGTGTGACCAAGGTCACCGCCACATTTGTCCTATGGTTAACCGGGGGCCAAGTGCAAGCAGGGTACAGGCGCTTGCCGGAGTGAAAGCAACTCTCTTTGGAGCGTGCAGCGGGATAAATCCGCGCTGTGAGGGCGGAGTCGCCCTAAGACTCCCCAGCAGTGAGTCCTGCCTCACGGGGCGTCCGGGCAGGGTGGACCTCCCAGCATCTCTTTGAAAAGTGAGATGGGAGTCTAAGCTACAATAGGATACATTTTCTTTTATCTTTCTTAAGAGTTGTATTCCATGCAGTTTTGGAAAATAGAAATAATACACTAGCAAAACTTTTCCAAGTCGGTGGAAAACCAACAATTTCTAGACCTGAACGATTTTGGGGTTGTCTACAATGTCCAGAGATATTTGTATTGCACTGCGAAGGCTTTTGCGTCGAGCTATAGCCTTTTTTTTTTTTTTTTTTTTTTTTAATTTTAAGAAAGGGTTTCCCTAAATTACCCAGTTACCCAGTTGCGCTCGAATTTGTGATCCTGCCTCCCTCCTCCTGCTGGAGTGTTGCGATTACAGGCATATGGTTGGCCAGGTTATTTTTTTATATAGTAAATGTTACTGTTTTGCATTCAGGGAAATAGGATTTCTTTTTAAAGACAGCCCTTCTGAGGGTTATATACTATTAGAAAAGAGGAAAGACAAACACAACACCCATGAAAAGTTACATAACCATAAGAAATGTAAATGACTGAGAAATTTGAGAATGTAAAAAAAAACCCTATATATTTGCAAGGGAAAGAGCCGGTGAGTGCTTGAAACTTGGTGCTCAGCTGATTTTTGCCTTGTGAGAGTTTGAATCTTTCTTACAAAGATCTGGTTTTCTGCAACATGTCAAAAAACTTTTATGCAGTTTTATTTTGTAATGTAATTGACTAGCATTTGTTAGCATCCTGTGTGAATAGGTGTATCTTTTTGTGATCCTCACAGATTATCACATAAATCAGTAGTCAGAAATAATTTGGATTTAGAGGATTGAAGAAATCCTGAAGAGTAGGATTATCAAAAAAGACTTTCACAAAACAGAAATTTAAACTAAGTAGGATAGGAATGTTATCTTGGAGGAGAAGAATACAATAGATGAATAATATCTGTTGGAATTGAGAAAGTAATCCCCGAATTTGGCAGATAAGTACACCTTCCTAGAAGAGGCTTGGAACAATGAGCGCAAGAGGATTGTTTGGGAGAAACTCTATATTGCCAGATAAAAAAAGAAGTCTAAAAAAAAAAGGAAAGAAGTCTAGACTTTGTTCATAGGACAGAGGTTGTGGATCATAGGTCAGAAGGCTTACACAAGCATTATTGGGCCACAGTTAATTTCCACAATTTCTGAGGAGGTCTGAGATAAGGGCCTGAGAATTTACGATGCCTGTTAGTTTTCAGGTGTTGATGGTGTGGAGATGACACTTTGAGAACTGTCCTAGAGTATGGGCAATTATGAAGGAATTAGAGGAGAATAAAGACACCATATTCAAATTTCAAGCTGAATCCTACTGTGAAGTCCAAGAGGAGAACTGGGGAAGAACAGGCAAAGAGGAATGGTCCTTAAAGTGAATTGCAGCTCCTTAATGCCAGGTCTTGTTCCAGCCTTACTCAGGCACACGGTCATTCATACTCACTGTAATTTTTCTGTCATTCTGAATGCTTTCATTTTGCACATGAAGAAACTGTGAGAATATGAGAGATTGTCCAGGATCGTGGCTAGTCTCAGAGTTCCTTAATGCTGTGCAGATTTGAACTAGTGTGGTAGTAGTGAAACTGAATTAAAACATTTAATGGTGACAGAACATAGGGAAATGGAAAACATCCCTTACAAATTGAAGCCTAAACATAGAATTGGGAAACCTAAATCTTGTTGGAAACACCATGAAAGGTGAAATGCACAGAGAACTTCAGCGAATCCATGTATGAATTGAGTATCTGTTCTGTATGACTTTTATGTAATGATTACTATTTCAAAGTTGCTCATTTTAAAAATTATCTTATTCTATAAAAACTTCCTGAAAGTGTTTGGAAAGGAGACAGGAAAGCCTTTTATGGGAGTAGTGGGAGATGTTGAACAGATCCGTGGCATCTGACAGCTTATCTTCAAATCAAAAGTGATAAGCATTGAGAAATGGAAACCCATGCATTAGCACTGAGTTGCCTGTATGAATTGTGCTGCACTGCAGATGCTGACCTAATGTATTGATTTTGGAAAACTTCTATGCTTTTTTCTTGCCAGAGTGGTTATTGAAATTGAGAATATTCATTGGATCAATTTCAAGACAAATATCCCAAGTCAGACTGGCTGCTGTTGAGCAAATTTTTAATGAAGAAAAACATCCATATATTGAAATCAAGACTTAAAAAGAACATTCCTAACTAAGCACTTATGGTAAAATCTGGAAAATATGTGTTTAAAAAAAAAAAAGAAATCAGTGTAATGGCATTGCAGAATCATTTGAAATTATAGCAGATGTCCATTTCTCTGAGCAATAAAATGTTCTGTGGCTACAAAGATAAGTCATAGTTTAGGGAAGACTGCCAGCTTTTAAAATGACCCCAGTGCAAAGCGTTGAGCAAAGTAAAAGAAAAATGTGGATATTACATGATGATAAGAGATGAGGAGAGGGGAGGAAATGGGGAAAGGAAGCCAGGGGAACTATGTCAAGGAGATGTTTGAGTTGGTTCTTGAAGGCTGAGATGATTAAGGGAGAGAAGGACATTCCAGTTAGTACATGGGTGACAGCCATGTTGTGTGAGAATGCAGCTTTTTCTGAGAGCAGTGTGCAGATGAGGATGGGATAGCAGTGTGGCAGAAGTGGAAGAGGAGGAAGAAGAAGCTAGGTGAACAAAGCAGTCAAAGACAAGTACGTAGGTAAGGGCTGAGTTGGATGGATTGTAAATTCCACATCAGGAGTCCAGCTTGACCCGTATGTCAGTGCAGTCCAAGCCTTAGCACAGTGTTTTGCGTGCTGTGAGTTCTTCATAAATATTTACTGAATGAATGGCTGAATCCCAGAAGAATTTTTTTTTTCTTTTCATGTAAGGTAGAGGGAACCTCTTACATGTTTTAAGCAGGGAGTAATAATATGATCATGAGGAGAAGTGGCAGTGTAGCAAATGAGTCAGTGATCAGAAAGATGAATATATTTGATTGGAGTTTCTCAGGCTCATGGTTGTATCTGTTGGTAAGTTGAAATCTTCATTTTAAAAATAGAGGAATGGGGAGATAGCTGGGCAGTCTAAGTGCCTGCCTGGCAAGTACAAGGACCCAGGTTCAACCTCTAGTACCACATACTGTGCCAGCTAGGAACCCCAGGTGCCATGTGCCAGCCGGCAAAACTGGGCATAGTGGTACATGCCTATAATCCCAGTGCTGGGGAGGCTGAGACAGGAGGATCACTATGAGTCTCTGCTGCATAGTGAGGCCTTGCACCAAATGAATAAAAGATTTTTAAAAATTTTAAATAGAAAAAATATATATGACATGCAATAAGATAAAGTATTGTTTGGTGAGACTTAGGTCAGTTAATGTGTGTGTTGATTGATATAAACATATTTTTTCCTATAGAATGCTTAAAACCCCTATAGTAGGAGAAATGTGGGAGTGTGTGTGAAGGAGGAATGGATATAAAGGATATTATTGAGAAAGACAAATGAGAATCTTAAATTACTGTCCATGTAATGAACATTTACATTAAAATGCTACTGTCCGTGGAAACCTTTTTGGAGAGGCAGCTGTGGTAGTTAGCATTCTGTTATTGTAACAAAATACCTAAGATGACACCTTAAAAAGGTTTATTTGACTCATAATTTTGGAGGCTTCAGTACATGGCTGGTTGCCTTGTTGCTTTGGCTCTGCGTTGGCAGAGTATATCACGGCAGGAAAGCCACCCCCTTCATGGAATGGCCAGGAATGAAAGGAGAGGTATGGGCTAGAGTCCTTGAAACCCCTTCAGGGAACACCCTCACTTACCTGACTTCCTCCCACTGGGCCCCACCTCTTAAAGGTTCCATCACCTTCCCTGTAGCTGCCTGGGCTAGGGATTATCTTTAACACATGCCCCCTTGAGGACATTTAAGAGCTAGAGCTTTGGAGGACATGTAAGGAGAAGATGCACTTCGCCAGCCCATGTCAGTATTTTTGCCTACTTCATAGTCTTCATTATATACTAATAAACTGACGTTCTGGTTTATTAGCCATGGCAGTGCTTTGAAGTATCTTGCTGAATTTTCTAAATGCTGCAGAATTTCTCATCTATCTTCATAGTGCTTAGCTGATAAAGTGTTGGATGAGACCATACTCTGAGGAATCATAAAAGTAAATTGAAAGTTTGATTGACTATTGGCCGAGTTCTTTGATTTCTTTCCATCAGAAAGCCAGAGGATGCTTAATTACATGAGTATGTCCCTGTCAAGACAGTTTTGTAAATAAGCTTTGCAAATATTTTTCTCTTCTGCCTCTGACATGCACATAAGGGTAAAAGTTGCTCATAAGCCTGAGTTGGACTGCTTAAAAATTTATGGGCTCCTTTAAAGTCAGTTCAGTTGGATGCATTCATGGAGTTGAGTATATTATGAATTTAGTTACCAGATGTGAATTTTCTGTGGCATGAATAGCACTTTAAAATGTTTAAAAGTTGGTCTGTTCTGTCACTTAACACATTATTGGTATTTTTAACCATCATATGAGTATACTACTGATATTTCCTACTCTTAAGGTTTACACCGGAAATATAAATTATTTTTTTATTTTGACCTAAGCAAAATAATTAATTCAAGTGAATAGCCCTAATTGTATCCCATTCAAATGTAAAGTGTTATTTTTCCCTAAAGTTAATACCACATAGATCTGAGTATATGAAGTCTAGTTTCTCCCAGGTTATTCCTGTAGTTATGAGGCCTTGATCAATCCGCCTGGCATCAGTGAGCTGCCTCATCTGTAAAATAGGATCTCCTTCACCATGCAATAGTTGTTTGGATTGGCTGAGGTGCATGCACAGTACCTCATGCATAATAAGTAGCAAAAGATAACAGCTTCTATTTGCAGTTTTCATACACTTAGAAAATCAGGAAACATTTTGATTTTGAAAGTGTTGAGGGGCCGGGGAGATGGCTCAGTGGAATAAGTGCTTCCCTGGCAAGCGCAAGGGGCTGAGTTCAATCCCTGGTTCTGCAAAAAAAAAAAAAAAACAAGAAAAGAAAAAGTGTTGAAACCTAGAATTCTATACATCTGGATAGCATTTTTAGTCTAGGCAGAAAGAAAAAAGGTGTGGAGAGTAAAATGATACCATCGTTTTCCTTGTACTTTGCTTTGTTTTCACTTAAAGGCCTTTAAAGTTTGCCTTGGCATCAGAAAGCAGAGAACTTTGCCTTCGCAATAAACCTTAGGGTTGGCAGATAGTGTGGATTTTCTATGACTGCTGTGATTAAATTGTTGTAAGAGACCATACTTTATGTTAGGTTAATCTTTAATTTTAAGAGGCAGTTTTTATTCATCTCATTTAGGAAGCATTAATTTGCTTGAGTTATTATAAATAAATCTGGATCTTCCTCTCTCTCCACTCCCCTTGCTTTCTCCCCTCTTCTGGAGATAGAACCCATAGCCTCAACTATGCCAGGCAAACACTCTACTACTGAACTACATCGCCAGCCCCTAAATGTACATATTTTCATCAAATAATAACTTGCTGCTGGGTTTTGATTACTTAAAAACTTACCTTTCTGGTTTTCTATAATATATTAAAGGTGTCTAGTTTCAAAATAAGTACTCAGAAGGCAAAATGTTTTTAATAAAGGACCTTAGATCACATTAATATTGTTACTTGAGGGCTGGTGAGATGGCTCAGTGGTCTAAAGCACCTACTTAGAACAAGCTTAGCAAAAAAGCACAGGGACCATGGTTCAATCCCCCAGCACCACATGCCAGCCAGCCCTGCCCCCTGGTGGGCTGAGCGGGCACACACACACACACACACAAATAAATAAAATTTTAAAAAAATATATTGTTACTTGACTCTTTTTGCAGTATATTAAATCAATATAGGGTAACTAGAACATTTACTCATGGAAGAAAAATTACTGAAAGCTTTCCTGTAGCACCGGACTAGATTCTGAGGAAATGAAATAAAATGATGAGCTTTTTCTGGAAGGATCATCAGGAAGGTGAAGGATGAGAATTGATGGGGAGAAGTTTTTAAATTTGGAGGTGAGATAAGTACTGTACTTGTGAGGTGCATGGAAGGTTGTGGAATAACTAACTGCCTAGAAACGTCTGGAGAGGGAGTCACCTCAGAAGTGTTAACTGAGCTGAATAGGTGTTTGTCAGGCAAGAAGAGTAGATGATAGCTGTCCAAGACTTTTAATTTTTATGATGACATAGTTTTAAAAAACCTACCATACTCAAAATTGTTTATTAGTCCCTGGACATCTGTTATTTCAGAGAAGCGTTTTACTTCAAATCCTAAATGTGATTCTGGTTAAAAAAAA